GCCAGGCTGAGCAGGCCTTGGCCATCGTCCCTCAGTGGCTCTAACCTCCAGGTCCCAGGACCCACCAGGGCAGACCTCATGCTGTCTGCCTGGGCAACGGGACTGGAGTCCAGAAGGAGGCCAGAGCCTGACACTACTTCCCTGATCCAAATTCTAAGGCGGTTTCCAGCCCCACCTGTTGGTTCCCAGGCCCCTCCTGCTCCTTCCTCTGCTCTAGATTAGAAAGCAAGGACACAGACACTTTCTGCAGAGGTCCCTGTGAAGATGGACACCGGACGAGAGCCCCAGATGCCCTAACTGATAAGTTAGCACCCAAGGCTCTGGTGCGCAGCCAAGGGCAAGGGGTGGGCAGGTTGCAGAGGGCTACAGGATCCTCTGTCTGGGTGCAAAGCCCACTCAATCAGTACAAACACTGGACCTGGGGGTAAGCACTTGGCTTGACGTGCCTCAGTTTCCCCATGTGTAAACAAGGAGCCCTACCTCATAGGACTGTCGTCCTTTGGGCCCCTATTTCCCTACCACAGTCAACCAGGCCCCTCCCTCGTCGGCCCCAGGGACCACATGGCAGCCATGCCTTCCCACCCTTGGGGCTAGCAGCCTTCCCTCTACATCACTGCCCTCCCTCCAAGCCCCTAACCCTCCTCTCACAGTGAGGGACACTTCCTCTGCCGTTCTCCTGGTTTCCCAGCCCAGAGCTCGCTTCTCCATGAGGAAACGTGAGTATGACCATTTTGCCTACCAGACTTCCAGGCCTGGCTGCCTGAGCCAGCTGCCAAGCCCCAGCTCCTCCCAGTGCCCTCTGCAGGAACTCCCTGTGCAGAGAGCCCCCTCCTCCTTGCAACGCCCCTGTCCTAGGCTTACATGAAGCCACGCCACCTGAGCACTCTCCCTTTCTTGCTGGTCACTCTTTTTCCCACAGTGAGCTCCTCCCCTCCCTGGGCTTCAAGTCCCTCCGCCCACTGAGGCTTCCTTGTCGCCAACCAAAATCTCTCCCCAGAGCCACAGAGGCACACATCTGTTGACATAACATTGCTTGACCCCCAGCCTTACCATGGACTTAATACAGTAAAGCACACAGAGTTCCCAGCACGGTGCTGGCCTGGTAGACGCTCAGTAATCGGTAGCTATGATTAGGATTATTTGGCCCCCACCACCATCGTAACAGGCAGAGATCCTCATTTGTAAACTCTCTCGAAGGATTTGCAGGGAGCCCTGAACCTCTTCCCTCAACTTCTGGGGTTAGGGAGTCAGAAACCGTGCACCAATCACCGCAGGCCAGCCGTTCTAGGAGCCAGAGCCTAAACTCCATCTCCACCAATTAATTAACTAGTGTTCCAGTGATTACTTCTGTTGACAGCCTTGGTGGCTTTTGGCAAGGCTGGGTCAGCCCAAGCAAGTCCAGACTCATTGTAGCAAATCCCACTGGCAGCGGGGACGGGAGACGAGATCCCTACACAGCAGAAGCACACCTCGTTAGGGAGGATTAATTGAGAGGATTCGTGGGGAACGAGGTCCCCTCAGCCAATCGGCGGAGGGCCTCAGTGCCTGGCTCACAGACAGGCCTCAGAATACCCCATGGTACCCAAGCCAGCCCTCATCCTGCAGGGGTGGACACAGCTGAGGAGCGAGCTCTCAAGATCACGCCCCTTCTCTCCCTTCCCAGAGGACAAGGATTTACGGGATGACTGTACTCTTCCCAGTGCTGAGAAAGAGGCTTGGGTTGCAGTAAGAGAGACTCTGGTTAGGTGTGCAGAAGAACTAACTTGCGGGTCTACATGAGGAAGGCATGGGGAGAGAGGGGCCTGGACTTTGACGTGGAGCCTCTGCAAGGTCAGGGCAGCTCACTTGGGGTCATCAGAGCTGGAGGCTGGTGCAGGCGGGTGGCAGCCCCCTCCCCACTACTTGCCTCTTGAAGCACACCCAGCACCTTCCCCACCGCAGTGTGGCCCCAGCCCTCTCCTCTCTCTGCTGCCTCCCACCCCCACCCCAGGACAGCTGCTGTGGGTTGTCCCCAGAGGTTCACATGCTAGAGGCTGAGCCCCCAGTGCGTCCGTGTTGAGATGGTGGAACCTCTGAGAGGTGTGGCCTCGTGGAAGGCAGTTAGGTCCGAGAAGGGATTGACACTGTTCACACATGCAGTAGATCCGGAGAGAGCTGGTTGCGGTAAAGCTCCCCACATCCCTGGGCCCTTCTGCTGTGGTCAGTTCTCTTTCTGCTTCTCCGCCATGCTGCTTGGACCATGAGCCCAACACACCTCTTTTCTATATACAGCGCCCAGCCTCAGGCATTTTGTTACAGCAGCAGAAATGGACTAAGACTGTAGACAGGCGCTTGGGAGAGGCGAGAAACCTAGTCCCAGAGATCCAGCGGAGGCGGCAGCACTTCCTGCTCTGCACCGGGAGTGTGGCCCTCCGGCCTTCCGGTCACATCAGCCCCACCCAGGGCTAGTTCTGTGGCTGCCCTGGGCCTCCGCTTCCCTGGCAGAGCTGGAAGGCAGTGAACTGGAAGGCCCTAAAAGTCCTCCCAACCGGGATGGTCTCCGACTCCGTGCTGCGGACTCTGCCCTGGGTGGCCCTGTGCTGGCAGGGGGAGCTGTGAGAGCCGCCTGAAGCTCAGCGCACAGGGCGCCTACAAGCACCCAGGTGATTTGGATCCTCGCCTTGAACCCTGGACCCCGGCTGACTTCTCGGGGACAGGTAGCAGCTTCAGGGAGCACCCGAAGGGGAAGGGGATGCCAAGGACCACTGAGGAATGCCATCTGTCCCATCTGCACAACTGCTAGGCTGCCTGGGTTCTCAGCCCCCTGGGCCTCCCTGGACTGCAGCTTTCCCAGGCTGGGCAGTGGCAGGAGCCTCCCTGTCCTCACTACAGCTGGCCTGGGCCCTCTGGGCATGAAGCAGTTGCTGGCACAGATCAGAGTTCAGATCATAGCCTGCTGTGTCCTGTGTGGCGTCCCTCAAGACAGGAGCCTCACCCGCCACCTTCACCTCCTCCGGGGCTCAGGGAGGGAGATGACTCCAGTGCTCACCCACCAAGGACCCTGGGGGCCTGGAAGCTGGGTCCCTACCCCCTCTTCCAGGCCTCACAGCCGGGGTCTAGCATCGTCTCCCTCAACTTCTCTCCAGGAGCTGCAGGGTCAGTCCTGAGATCACAGACGCCATGCTGGCTCACTCCTACCAGCACTCAGTTTGCTCCTTGGGTCTGCCCCGCACACAGTGTCCTGCCCTCTCCACTTCCAACCCAGCATAGAGCACAGGTCCAGCGCTGCCCCACCTGCCTGTCTCCTTACCAGACGCCCTGCCCACCCTGCCTTGCAAAATGGGGTTATGTGGGGCACGAAGGGTGGGGGCCCTGTAGCTCATCCCCCAACTGGCTGCCCCAGTCCCTGCCCCACTCCACCCCACCCCATGACCTTACCCCTCTGCTGACCCTCCACCCTGCACAACCCACCAGACTTCCCCGCCACCCGCAATCAGCTGTTTCCCCCATGGCCGCCTCCTAGTATCTCAAACCTTCTCCAAGCCCTCAAACCTCGTCTACCCTGCCCCTCCCTCCTTTCCTCTGTGCTGTCACGGAACACAGAAGCCACCAGAACAACTCCCTCCACTTCCCCACCCCAATTTCATCTGCCCCCTCTCCTCTGCAGCCTGCTGGAGTGGGAGGGGCTCGCCCCCAGCAGAGGCCCTGGATCCCCGCCCTGTCCCCCCCGCCTTCCCCTTCACAGTCACACAGCTGCTGTCCCTCCCATGGAAAACATGGAAAATCAGCTACGGCAAAGCCTCTCTTGGTCCCACGGGGGACTCTGCTTGTCTCATTTCCCTGGTGCTGAGCTGCACCTGTCACCTGGGCCCCTTCCCCCAGGGAACAGGACCGGCCCTCATTGCCCAAGATGCCGATGGACACTCTTCAACTTCCTGGGGCACTGAGCTGTGGGCAGCCACTACCCCTGGTCCCACCTGGCCTGGGCCTGCCCTGGCCCTGCAGCCTCAGGGACTCCAGAGCGAGAGCAGCTTCCCGCAGGGCACTTCCGCTTGCCTGTTCCCAGGCTCCTCGCCCCCATGGACCCCTCCAGCTCCCTCTTCCACCCTGCTCCATCCTGTGACCTGGCCCCCACACCTACCTGGTTGTACAAAACTCGAAACCCAGGCATGCATCCTGCCGGCTCCCTCTCCCTCCCACCACACACAGTCCCTCCTCACCCTCCCTTACAGGGCCCCCTTCTCTGGACGCCTGTTGCCAATAGCCTGGTCCAAGCCGCTATGGTCTCCGGCTGGATGCCCGCCACAGCCTCCCGATGGCTCCTTCTCCAGAGCTCCGGCTCCTACTCGGGATGCAGCTCCAGGGTCCACTCCAAATCAGGACATCAACCATCCACTCTGATGTCCACTCTCCCAATACCACCTGGGCCCAGCTCCCCAGCCTGGCCTCCCTTATCTGGCTCTGCTCTGCTTAAGCTCTCAGGACATGCTGAGTGCCGCCTTACCCTAGAACCTCCCCCCAGCTCCCCCAGTCCGTGTGTCCCCCCACATCCCTTCTCGCTGGGTCCCAGGGAAATGCCACCTTCCTGCAGGCTGAGTGTGATGTACTGTCCCCTCTTCTAGGCGCAGCTGAACTTCCCCCATCCCAACAGTCCTTGTTCCTCATTTGCTATTCCCTGTGCAATTCTTTTTTTTTTTTTTTAATTTATTTGACAGATAAAGTTAGACAGTGAGAGAGAGAGAGAGAGAGAGAGAGACAGAGAGAAAGCTCTTCCTTCTGTTGGTTCACCCCCCAATTGACCGCAAAGGCTGGAACTATGCTGATCTGAAGCCAGGAGCCAGGTGCTTCCTCCAGGTCTCCCATGTGGGTGCAGGGGGCCAAGCACTTGGGCCATCCTCTGCTGCCTTCCCGGTTCTAACCCAGTGCCTAGCACAGAGCTCAGGAGTCAGCGCTGAAAAGGTACTTGCTAACAAATGACTGAAATACCCTGCCATTACCCACCCGCTCCCAGCTCCACTGACCTCCGACATCTGCGGGAAGAGGCTGATGGCCAGTGGCAGGGCCAGGCCGAAGGCAGCCAGGCACACGAGGCTCTGCACAGGGAGGAGCAGCCGGGGGCGCGCCTGCAGGAGAGCAGTTCTGTGGGGAAGAGAGAGGAGGAGCTTCATGAGGCCTGAAGATGGAGCAGGCTGCCACTAGCCCTCATGCTGGGTCCCAAGCAGTCTCGGGGCCAGGGCAGCGTGGTTCTGGGCCCAGGGTCAGGCATTAGTGAAGTAGATGTGGCAGAATTATGTCTTCAGGGCTTGCCTCCATTGACACCCCTAAAGCCCAAGCCCTGCCTGGAAGCACACTGCCGGCCAAATTCTAAACATTTGCAGGGCACCCACCCACCATGTGTCTAGCCCTGTGCCAATAAGGTCCCAAGAGAGGGAGAAGACAGAAGACTCTGCCAGCCCCTGCTCCCAGGGAGACACACGCGGGAGTAAGACCACTTTCAAAGGCAACACATGGTGAAATGAACCAGAGCAGGTGCCAAGTTCAGGGAGGAGACAAAGCATGTGCACCCCCACACACATGAACATGTAAGCACATGCACTCACACATATGTGTGCATATATGCAGGCACACAAAGGTGCACACACATGCACTCATAAGCACAGGCGCACATATACTCACACACATGTACCCGCACGGCCTGAGGAGGTCATCTTCGGTGTCCAGGAACAGAACACACCCCTCTGGCCTCCTTTCAGCTCTACCCAAGAGTCACAGAGAGGGAGAGTGATTTGCCCAAGGCCAAGCCTGCAGGGGGCCGGCAGGCGTGGACTCCCGACTCCCTGGAAGTGCTGTCACCTCAAACAGCTCCTGGCTCCCTGCTGCGGGCCCCTTTGTCAGCTCTGCCTCCAGCATGACCCACCTGGCACCTGCTCCCTGCAGGGAGCTGTCATTCCTGGGCCAGGAGGGAATAGGGAAACCTTCCTCCAGGGCCCAGGGTCTTCCAGCTCCAGGACAAAATGGGCTCCCCAGGGCAGAGGTCACACCAGCTGCCCAATACACCTTCACCACATTCACCAGGGATCTCCCTTCTGCACAATCCACAGGCAGGATCTTTAAGCCAGGGCCACAGGCACTCACCTGGGGAGACCTGGAGGTGCCAGCAGCATGGACGACTGGACTAAGTGCAAGGGGGCACGTGGCAGACACTAAAACTTGAGACAGGGAGGCAGACTGGACAGTCAAGCCCCCTGGGAGGAATGCCTAGTATCTCAAGGCCTGTGGGATATGGCTTTAGTTCCCTTTGCTCTGAAGATAAACAGGCCCCCTGCTTGGACCAGGCTGACACCAGGGGCCAAGGCTGACCCAGACTGACCCGTAGCTCCATATACACTAATTAGAATATCTTAGCATGCTCAATAACACACCTACCAGCTGCCAAGATAGGAAACATGGGACCATACAAGGAGCAAAAAGGGGCAGTAAATAAATCCTGAGAAATCTCCACCTGCCTGCCTACCAGAAAAAAACATGAGTATTCTGCCCCTTTATTAGTAGGTACCTCCCCTTTCATAACGGCCCTTAGAACGTAAAACATGGCTCAGGCCAGGGCCACTCCCCTCCGAGTGGGCCCCACCCTGTGTGCCCTGTGTGTGCAGTGTGCATCTTCGCTTTCTCAAGAAACACTTGCTGCTCGCTATTCACTGTCCTCCAACACACTCCTGAATTCTTTCTTGAAGCAAAGTCTAGGATCTAGGTACCCCCAAGCCCTCACTGTCTGATCTCTATAACTGCATCCACGTGACCATCAAGTCAGGGGTCTTTCCCCTCCTCCAAGAGAGCCAGGCTCAAGGCAGGCAAGATGGGGGCATTGTGGGAACAGGAAGACCCTACACCATCCTCACCTCCTGAGGCAAGAATCTCAGGGCACCTGGCCCTGACCAGGTGGTAACAGAATGTACATGGAGTGGCCCGGGACAGCTAGGTAAGAAGGCATACTCCCCAGGGCCCCCTACCCATGACCCCTGACTCAGCTGGTGTTAGACATGGGCTCTGCATGCCCACAGTCCCGTTAAGTGCTCAGTACCTGCACAATGGTTGCGGTTCCCACCTGCCTAGACCCCCAATCTGTCCAGCCGAGGAGGGAAGCCTGGGTGGAGCCACTGGAGAGTGGTTTCTGCAACAGTAAGAGCCACAGAGACAGAGGCGCCGGAACCAAGCTCACATCCACTGGGCCTCCTCATCCTCTCCCAGGCTAGGCCATGCAAGCCCCACACCCTCCCCGCGCTCAGCGCAGGGCCTTGCTGGTTTCCTTAGGAGTACCGAGGGGCTGCAGTAAGCCTGAAGCAGACCAGCTGGCTTTCAACTCAGGTCAACTTCTCCAGCAGGGCAAGGATAGAGGGACACCTGGCTCATTCTCCAAACTTGCATGTGGGAGTTCAGAGTCCCTGCTCCCAAGAGACTGTGGCAGGAGGGTGTGAAGTCCCCATAGGCACAGCCCTAAGGGTCACTGAGGGTAGGCAAGGGTGGGAGGGAGAAAAGAGTAAGGGGCAGGCCATGGGCTCAACCCCTGAGACCTTCTGATGGAGACACTGGATCGCTCCCCTGCCACAAAGGGCTGTGGCCTCAGTCCCTGTCTCAGGTGTGATTGGTTGAAGTCCCCACTGGCGAGGAAGTACAGGAAACCCCAGGGCTGTCTAAACTCCCAATTCAGGAAGAAGGGAGACCCAAGGCTGCGGCTGCGAGGGAGGCTGCGGCCAAGCAGGAGTCTTGAGTCCCAGCCCAGAGCAAGCAGGCGGGAGAGTGAATACAGCAGGCTGGGGGAGGGGAGGAGGAGAGGGAAATGGCAGGAAGGGATTGGAAAGGCAGCTGGGGGAGTTAAAATATGCAGATGGAGAGATGTGCAAATGCCTGGGAGAAAGGAAAGACCCGGATCCCAGGAAGAGATGGAGGCTGTGGGAGCGGACTCGGAGACCCACCACCAGGGTGTGGTCTGGTCCCTGACCCAGCTTCCAGGATGCAGCCTGGTGCCTCTGCAGCCCTTCCTCACCCCAAGGCCAGCGATGCAGGAGAGGGAGCCGCAGCCCCCTGACCCAGCACAGGCCTCTGCCTCTGAGCTGGGAGGAGGCTGATCCCAGCCCTGGGTCTAAAACCAGCTTCCTACTCAGCCTGGATGCTGAGCTCATGCCATGCTGCAGTGGGACAAGGGGCTGCACCCTATGCCTGCCTGCCTGTGTGCACACCCCCCCGCCCCCCATAAGGCAGCCCACCTCTGGGCTGGGTGAGTCCCAGCTTCTGACTTGAGACTCTTCTGAGCTTCCCCACTCCCCAGCCCTGCTCCACCCCTGCCAAGGAAGCCCGGGCCCTGGGTTCAGTGAGCTCCTCCTGCAGAGAATAAACTGAGACCAGAGGAGCCAGGTCCCAGCCCCTGGCCTGCCACACAACAGCTGGTCTCCCCCACCGCGATGCATTCCTTCAGCACTTGTAGCACAGCTAGTTTGCGCTCCATTAATTTGCAAGTAGGCTGCTTTGTAAGTGTTCTTTTGTCTTTTTCTCCCTGGCAGTCTGGACTCCCTCACCCACCTGGGACTCCCAGATCGTGGGGGCTGCCACTCCCATCAGCCTCCTCAGCAGAGGCCCCTGCCAAGGACCTGAGAGGGGGTACCCATGGCAAAGGCCCAGTGAGCCCAGCGGTGAAGGGGTAGGGTCCGCGTTTTCCAGGTGGAAAACTGATGCTGAGGGAGGCTCCCTGACCACATTAGATTGGCAGGAACCCCAATTTCATTTTCCTACCGAAGGTCTCATCTGGCTCTGCCAGGTTGCCTTGCCTCTTCCACCACACCGTCCTGTGGTTAGCGTCTTTGGGGGCACAGGGAGGGTCTCATTCACCCTAATAGTCCCAAAGCAACTCGGGTTGGACTCTCTCCTACCTCTGATGCCCCCCAGAAGCTCCAGGCAAGAACCAACCAAACACAAGGCTGCAAGGAGCACCAAAGGTTAAGCTGGGCTTCTTTGGACCCTGAACTCAACCAGTCCACAGGCACCCAGACCTAGGCTGGGGAGGTTCAGAACTAGCATAATCTGCACCTCCTGTGAGCCCAAAGCCAAGGTTAAGCCATCAAACTAGTTGGACACTAACCATCACTCCATGTTCTGCAAGCACAACTCAGATGCCAAGTGAGAAGGTGTCACAGCTCCTCCTTCCTCCGTCAGTCCCTACAGGACAGGTCCCTGGACGGCACTAGCTGACCCAGCTTTCCCCACCCACGGCGGTAGTTCTCAGGGTAACTGTAGAATATGTCAGGCACGCAACATCCGAGAACAAGCCCTGCTCTGCTTCTGCCCTTCCAAGAAGAGACATCCAGCAACACGTTAGCCCAGCAATCCTGGCTGTTCCTGGTACAAAACCCAGGGTGGAGAGCCTGCAGGAGCTGCAGTGCCAAACAGGACCAGGGCAGAGGAGACTCCTCGCTCTCCTGCGGGCAGCCTTCCCGAGGTGTGTGTGTGGGAGGCTCCCCGTGAGTCCTACGCTTCCACTGCCCTCGACACCCCTCTGTGCATAGTAAAGTTCCTTCACTGAACGTGTCACGTCAGGGTCCCGTCTCACCAGCTCACGCAGGTGACAGAGCCACTGGTGCATGCGAACCTGCCTCACAGGTCCAGGGCTCAGCAGTCTCGAGGACAGACAGGCCGTCCTCCTTGTGTGTACTTGCAGTTGCTGGTATTTGGGGACAACCTCAGTTCACGGAGGGGGGTGGGGGGGAACTATGGATACAAGGGTCGGGGGTACAAGAGTGATTGACCTCCTAAGTCTCTCTAATTTTGTTGCTGGTTCATTTGCTGAAATCCCAGTGCCATACCCGTGCCTAGGGACTCCCAGAGCACCACCCTCTCCCTAAACTGTGGGAGGGGCTCATCTCCCGGGTGGGCACACACAGCCCCTCATCAGCCGGCCACCACGAACACGCTTCACTTTGGCCAGGCTCGACTCCACAGCATCCACACAACAGGCCTCCACCCTGGCCAGCAAGCGCCCCTTCTGCAAACCCTGTGCTGCTCTCAGAGCCGGCCGTGGTCCTGCTGCAGGGCCTGTGTGCTGCCTCCTGCCAAGGTCACCTTGGCCCTGGTACATACTGCCTGGTCTCTCCTGCAGCTGCCCTGGGTCGGGGCGGGGGGTGGTCTCATCCAACTCTCCTATAAAAATGGAGGCTCCCCACAGCCAGGCCTCAAGTCTGCTCCTTCCCTGGCTCCATGCAACACAAGACTCAGACACACGCCAATCCGACCTGCAGTCCTCAGGGGCAGCCAGTGTGCCACGAGGAGCCCAGGTTCCACAGCCCGTTCCTGAGCCATTGAGGCTGTGCCACGTCCTGGTGTGTGACCCCAGGCAGGCGGCACAGCCTCCCTTTCCTCGTCTGTGAAATGGGGATATCTCATCCCTTCCCAGTGTGGCGAGAGCTTTCGTTCATTTATTCTACAAACACTGGGCACCTGCTGTGTGCTGGGAGCTGGCCCACCTCTGAGCAGGGCAGCACGCACAGGGTTTCCCTGCCCTCATGGACAGTCTCTCCTCGTGGAGCAGATAATAAACCAGAGCATCAGATGCTGGTGGGTGGTTGTCTTCTTTTTAAATGTTAACATTTTTGTATTTTTATTTGAATGGTAGAAAGGGGCCGGCGCTGCGGCGAAGTAGGTTAAAGCCCTGGCCTGAAGTGCCGGCATCCGATATGTGCGCCAGTTCGAGACCCGGCTGCTCTACTTCTGATCCAGCTCTCTGCTGTGGCCTGGGATAGCAGTAGAAGATGGCCCAAGTCCTTGGGCCCCTGAACCCACGTGGGAGACCCAGAGAAAGCTCCTGGCTCCTGGCTTCGGGTTGGTGCAGCTCCGGCCGTAGCAGCCAATTGGGGAGTGAACCAGTGGATGGAAGACCTCTCTCTCTCTCTCTCTCTCTCTGCATAACTCTGACTTTCAAATAAATAAATGAATCTTTAAAAAGAAAGAAAGGAAGGAAGGAAGGAAGGACGGACCAAGAGACACGAGGACAGAGAGACAGAAATTTCCCATCCACTGGTTCACTCCTTAAATGTCCACAATAGCCATGGCTGGGTAAAGCCAAAGCCAAGATCCAGGAACTCAATCCAGGTATCTCATGTGGGTGGCAGGGACCCAAGTACTCGAGCCTTCACCTGCTGCTTCCCAGGGTGTGTGTTAGCAGAATGCTGGGCTGGGGAGGGGAGCTAGGACTTGAACCCAGGCAGTCCAATGCAGGATGCAGGTGTGCGAAGTGGCTTTTCAACCACTGCACCAAACACCCACCCATGTGGTTGCTGTCCTCTGGAGGCGGTGGCAAGGCGAGGGAGGACCTCTTTGAGGAAGTGACATTTGGGCACAGACCTGACTGGGAAAGAACTGGGATGTAGCAAGTGCTTAATTGATGTTAGTATCATGGCAACGTTTCCCAAAGAGAAGCCTTGGCCCCAGGATGCCAGAGGGGTGTCTCCTAGCCCTGTCCTTACCGTGCACCCCTAATCTCAATCACTGCACTGGAGAGAGGTCCCTTCCTCATATTCCCCACACAAGCCAGGGGTCTGCACCTCACACCCCTTCCCGTGCCTTTCTCCTAGGTCTACCCTAATCCTCAGGGCCTGTCCAGACCCGTAGGAGGGTCTGCCCTGGCGCCTCCTCCCTCTCTGCTCAGCCTTTGCACAAGCAGCATTTTGGTATCTGTGACTCAACCTCACACTCACTAATGAACACTCGATTACTGCTGCTGTTACATTCCCTTAATTATTCTTCAAGATTTGTTAGAGAGAGAGAGAGAGGGAGACACAGAGAATTTCCCATCTGGTGGTTCACTCCCCAAAAGGCTAGAGGTGGTCAAGGACAAACCCAGGAGCCAGGAACTCCATCCAAGTCTCCCCTGTGGTGGCAGGGGCCTAAGTCCTTGGGCCATCTTCCGCTGCCTTCCAGAGTGCATTATCAGGGAGCTGGACTGTAAGCAGGGCAGCAGATAGCAGAACCAGCAGTCATGCCGGATGTCAGTGTTGCAAGCGGAGGCTTAACCTGCTGCATCACAATAATGGCCCCTACCTTATCTATTGTTTTAAGTCATGACAAATATGTGTTCTCAGAAACATCTCTGAGGGAGACTGGGAGTTTAGCCTAGTGGTTAGAAAACCCACGTCCACACCAGTCCCTGAGTTAAATACTCAGCTCTGGCTCCTGACTCCAGCTTCCTGGTAGCCAGCAGTGATGATGGCTCAAGTAATTGGATTCCTGCCACCCACACAGGAGACCTGGATTGAGTTCCCAGCTCTTAGCCCTGACCCTAGCCTGGGCCCAGCCTTTGAGGGTATTTGAGGAGTGAACCAGTAAATGGAAGCTCTCCCTCTGTCTGTCACTGCCTCTCAAATAAAAAAAAAAATAACCTCTGAGGGAGGCAAAGCAGTTACTACTATGTGTATTTTCTAAGGGGAGAAACAGGTTCAGTGAGGTGGTGACTGGGCTCATGCTGGGTACCTTGCAAGGGGTGGCACTGACCCCAAATCGAGTCTTCTCACCAGTCCTCAGAGTCTGTCTTCAAAAATGGTTGGTCCTGCACTGTTCACTAGCACAGTGGGCACATACACGCACACGCACGCACACGTACACACAGGCACACATATCCACATGCTTCCAGAATGGCCAGTTGCTCAGGGCAGGGCAGCAGTGCCCGGCAGAGATCCCCACCAGCTGCCCCTCTGTCCCGGAGGCCCCTACTCACTTCTCCAGCATGGACATGACGATCGGGGGTAGCACCAGGATGGGCATGGGCAGGACCACTCGCGTCAGTGCCGTCTCCAGCAGGGCCTGAGGAGCAAGCAGAGGCTGTGGTGAGAGGGCTCCCACGGGCACTGTCACCCACCTGGCAGCAAACCCGCGCCGGGAGCTGAGTGCCACCACCCAGCACATCTGGCCGGGCAGGATTACTCGTGGTGTCGCTCACGACGCCTATTATGAACGACAGGAAAAAGCCAGCCTTGGGTCAGGACCACACACATCTGAGAAGAACTGCAGGCTGGGCTCACCGTCCGCACAGGAAGCACTGCCCACAACCGCCCTCCCTCACAGAGCCGGCAAAGAGGACAGGACTGGGGCGGCAGATTGGGAGCGAGCAGGAAATTGAGAATCGACCCCCTCTGATAAGGGGCCCAGGGCTGAGAAGTGCCCACAGGACCTTGGGCCCTCCGTGCTCAGCCTCTGGGAGGCCTGGGAGAGCTCCCTTACTCTCCTGAACAGGTGTGGCTGTGATGTGGGGGCCCCGAGCCTGAGCTGGCCCTTGGCCCTCCCAAACCTGGGGGCAAGGGGAGGTCAGCGATTAAGAGGGGCTTCTTCCTGGATGGCTGTCACAGGGGTGAATGCCCAGCCTCCTCTGTACTGACTCCCCCCAGTCCCAGCACCCAGAGGAGAGCTCAGGGCAGCAGGATGAGCCACTAGCCCCATCAGGAAGCCAGCTGGGAAAGCACAGATGACGGACAAATGGACCGGATGCTTTTCTTTTTTTCAATTACAAGTGCAATTCAAACCACAAACCACTCGCCTCCCAGCCTCCTTCTTACCCAGGAGCCCAGAAAGGCCCAGAGCAGCAGGGCACTGAGTCCTGGGGAGGGAGAAGGCGGCTCTGGGGGTATCGCCTCTGTCCTCACCAATTAGCACCTGCTCAGGGTGAGGGATCCCAGGAGAAGCCGGGTCCTGGGAGGGCTGGGACAAGAGATGGGGATGTTTCACAGCAGCAGCAGGAGAGTGGGGAGAAGCAAGGGGCTGTCCAGAGACCAGCTTGGCTGGAGCCAACCAGAAGACCTAGGGCTCATCCAAAGGGGAGGTGGGGGTGGGGTGAGGAGACCTGAACAAGGCAAACCTGGGGAGCTGCAGCTAAAAGCCCTGGAGCCATGAATATGCTGAGAAAACCAAGCCCCTCCCTGCTGCTGGCCTCCCCCCACCTCCCCCAGCTCTGAGCCCCTGGCCAACCCACGTGTCTGGCCGCGATCTTGGAGGAGCCCACGAGGTTGCCATCGGCATCCAGGACGTCAATCCCCTCCTCCAGCTCCCCGTACCGCATCAGGACCACGTTGCAGATGTTGGCACTGGCTGCAGAGAGAGGGGTGCAGGGAGCAGGAGTGAGGGGGGAGTCTCCAGGCTCCTCCTTCCCCCAGCCTCCTGGGGTTCTGAACACCTGGCGGCAGACACAGTGGGCAAGGTGGGGGCTCTGTCGTCTCTAGGGAGGGATCTGGGGGCCCCTGAGCACCTGGTGAGCCAAGGTGGAGAATCACCCAGTGTTAGGGAGGAAGCCACCAGGGCGTGGAGAGCAGCCACAGCTTGAGGCTGATGCTCCCTCTCCTCTTGGCTGCGGCAGCAGAAGCGCGCGCCTATCTGGGAGGGCCTCCTGTCCTGAAGACACAGCCCCTGGAGCCCAGTGTTTGCTGTCAGCACCTCAGTCCCTCCAGCCACCCCATCCTCTCTAGATGCCGGTACTCACTCATCCCGTCACGCCTCACAGTGAATCAACTCCAGAGAGCTACGTCCCCTCCCACAACCCCCGACAGCAGGTGCCAGAGCAGGCAGGAACCTCCGTGATCACCCAGCACCGCCCCCTCATCATATGGATGGAAAACGGAGGCTCAGAGAGGGGGAGTGATAGAGCTGAGGTCACACAGCAAAGTGGGACAGGGCAGAAAGGCAACAGGACAGAAACTTCTGGGTGCCCAGGAGCTGGGAGGCATGGGGGAGGCATGCAGGTCACGGCAGGCCTTTGACTGTCCCCCTCCCCTGTCTCAGCTGAGATCTCAGGACCTGGGCTGAGGGGGGCTCCCGGCTCCTTAGTTAAGTACTGGGTACAGAGTCAGGGGGCCACCTAGCTCGCAGGGAGCCTCTTGCTGCTCCCCTCACCTATGATGTGTGGTGGGGTATTGGCGCTGACCTCACCTGAACTCCTCCAACCCTGCTTCGGAATGAAAGTAGGGGGACAAGGGGGTGGTAGGTGGGTGGGAAGTGGGGGTGACAAATGCAGAGCCTGCCTGCTTCGTTCTCCCCCCAAAGCGCCTTGCTGTGTTTAAAGTTTTAATTTTTGCTAATTAATGTCAATTAATTTTGTATAATGAGTGTTTAATTTTGGGGAGTGTGTGAGCCTGGGAGCGACTGCAGTTCTGGGCTGTGAACGCTGATTAGCATCAACACCTGCTGCTTCCCCCTCCCTCCAGTGGGGGGGCACCGGGGTTTGGGGAGCTGGAGGGTGGTGAGGCCTAGTGGGCAGGCGCAGTGGGAGGCAGCACAGATGCCGCTGTTGCCCAAGCCAGCGACTGGAGGCAGGGTGGCCCAGGATGCTTGCAGCTGGGAGACAGGGCTCTGCAGGTGGGGGGGGGGCACGACCCAGGGGGCTCTGAGCTTCCATCTTCTGTTTCAGTCATTTTGGTGGGGAGGGATAAGCAGACGAGAGGACCGAGAGGCTGTGTAGGGTTTGGGAGACCAAATGCGGTTCTAAATGTGTTCAGAGCATACGTGCCATCTCTGAGCCTCTCTCCCATTCTGCACGACTCTGCAATGGGGACCATGGCAGACTCTGTGCCTGGGACTCGGCCCCGCACCCCTCTGGTCCCCACAGCAGGTGCACTCGCCCGGCATCAACATTGCCTTGATCTTGTCAGACATTTGGCCATGTCTGGAGGAGACTGTTTTGATGATCACAGTCTGGGGTGGGGGTGGGGTGCTCTGGCGTCTGTGGGCAGGGCCCAGGGAGGCTGCTAAACACCCTACAATGCTCAGGACAGATCGCCAACAAAGGGTTATGTGGTGCCAAATGTCAACGGTGCTGTGAGAGATTCTTGGCTGAACCACAGCCAGAGACTGACTGAATCAGGAAAGTGAATCAGGATAAGGGAATTTGGAGCAGCAGGGAATGTCCTAGAGGAGGGGTCAGGAGGCTGGGTTTGCAGCCATCTGGCCTTGGGTTCCAGTGCAGCTCCGACTCTGTGTCCCTCCTTGTTCACCCCCAAAGGCCTCTAATAGCAACTGCCCTCTAGTGGCAGTAGGGGTGCTCTGCAACCCCCAGAGGCAAGGTTTTTTTGGGCGAGGGAATAAACAGACTTCAGTTCCCAGGAGACGCAGGAGAACTTCTGGAGGAGACAGTGGGGTTTTTTGCCCTCCAAAAAACCGTGCCATCACACCAACTCCACCACCTTTCCAGTAAGGGCAAGGTTACAGGAGCACGGCTCAGTGTTCTTGCACCCTTAAGGCCAAGGGCAGCCAGTCCACCAGGTGAACTTGAGCAGCTGCCACCCAGCTCCTGCTTGGCACCCCTGGCTGTGAACGATGGGGCAGCGTTTAGGGGTCCCCCACAGACTCCTCGGCTGCTGTACGAAATTACACAGAGATTCGGGCCCCATACTGCGCCCGGGCCAGGGGAGGGGAGCGGGGACAGCTCCAGTTGTGAATGTGGGGGAGATGGACAGAGTGTGGCAGAGCAGCCCAGGCCCTGGGGCAGCATCTCCCATCCTCCCCGTCTGTCCTCCCTGCAGTTTCCCACTGTGAAACGCAGGGCTAGCAGGGACAAATACAGAACCATGGGAGATAAGAGAACCCCCTCTGAATGATGGCAGCCTCAGGTCCAGGTCCTCCCTCGGAGCAGCCACAGGTCCTGCTGCCACCTTAGACCACACATGCTCACTCCCTGATGTCTTCTGTGCACTGTCCACGCCAGCTGTCCACTTGTTGAGCACCTGCTGCATGCACAGGCTACTGGGCATGCCTGCCTTTGAGCAGTGAGAACGCCAGCTGTTACAGTGGTTTCGCGGCTGTGGTCTCATCCAGAACCTTGGATTCTGCTGCATCCCTTTCAAGCCTTCCCTGGCCCCTCCCACCTCAAATCCAGCCCCCAAGACACCGACACTGAGACTCTCAACAAACAGGAGAGGAAACTGTGCACAGCCATGGGCTGTGGCTCTGCTTTCTAACACCTGGGCAACACCCAGTCATTAATTTTAAATGTTTATTTAGTTTCAACTACTTGAAAGGCAGAGAGAGGAGAGAGATTGATCTTTTCTCTGCTGGTTCACTCCCTAAATGCTGGCAATAACTAGCAGTGGGCCAGGCTGAGGCCAGGAGCCAGGAACTTCATGCAGGTCTCCCACATGGGTGGCAGGGGCCCAAACACTTGAGCCATCATCAGCTGCCTCCCAGGCAGAATTAGTAGGAAACTGACCTGGAAGCAGGGTAGCCAAGACTTGAACCCAGGTACTCAGATATGGATGCTGGCATAAGCACAGGCTTAACCCGCCGTGCCACACGCCTACCCCAAGATCTATTATTGACGGTATCAGCAGGTTAATTAAGCAGTCTGTTAGTGATAATGTTAAGAAAGCTGGCACATTTTCAACTCAGATTGACACCATTCAAGACTCAGGCATCAATGATGTTGGAGCAGCAACGCTGGGAGATGTCACGGGTTGAGACAGAGAGAAAAAGAAAGAGGCGAAGGCAGGGGAGGGGGGTAGCGAGAGAGTGCTACACGCTGATTGCAAGCTCAGTGTCAAGTCCTGAGGAAAACACGCTCCTGACTGCTGCAGATGTTCTCACATCCAGCCCATTGCGATGCAAAATCATGCAGATTGTGAGCAGCTAATGAAGCACCCGTGTTAGAGGGACGGCGTGGGCACAGGGAGAGAGCAGGAGAGGAGGACACGCGGGCCAGGAAGTTCTCCAGCATGAGAGCATGGGCAGTGCGCTCCTGAACAGACAAGGAGATCAACCCCGAATACCAGTCCTGCAACACAGACCCATCGGTGGGGGAAAGTCCCAGGGAAGGCCGCTCAGACGCGGAGGCGGATCCACGCGCTGCTGACCTGGGGAGGGTGACACACCAGCGCTCCTCAACTTCCAGACGCATTTCCCTATATTTTAATGTTTTTTTTTTAAATCATGATGTGCTCTACCATGGACACGGGGGTGGGTGGGTGGGGAACCTTGCCTGCTGCCCAACACAACTGCCAGTTCCTATGTGAACTTGGCCACGTGCGCAGATATCCGTTCATTCAAGTGTCACCTTAGCTGACCACAGCAATCCACACAGACTTTGAACTTAAACTTAGATTCCTAATTGTTGCCTAAAACATCTTTTTAAAACTTACACTATAATGGTGTATGGACATGAAAAGTTATTGTACATGCAGAGGATCGTCTGCCAGAAACCAAGCAATGCAATTAAAGGCAGTAGAAATTGCCAAACCATAGATAGCTCCCCTAAAGAAAAGCTTGCCCATATGCACAAAGAGACATTTACAAGGATGGTAATTATAGCACTGTTTGTAAGAGCAAATAATTAGAAACAACCTAAATGTCCACCATTAGGGAGCTCACACGGGAAGATCTCCAAAACAAACTGCAATGTGAGAACAGCTCCTGACTACGTCCAGGGCGGTCTACAGGGTTTAAGCCCCGCAGTCGGCAGATGCACAGAATACCTGTGCCGAAAGCCACCGCCCAGGCGTGGCGGGCTCCTGCCTCACAGCGCGGTCCCCTGGGGCGGGGAACTCAATGTGAGAGGGAGAAGTTGACAGACTGCCACTTCTTTACACGAAATCCCTCTGTATTATTGAGCTTTCACCATGAGAATGTAATCATGCTTTACTTACCTAAAAACTTCAAAGAAATTGCCAAACTTCTTGAAGAAGATCATAAAAAAATGTTAAACCAGCAGGGGCTGGCGCGGGTCCCACACTTAGGTATCTATACTCGTATGTTAGAACGCTTCCTAAAGAAGCTGATTAACTTCAAGAATATTTTTTCCTTTAAGTAAAGAAAAAAAACGTAACCACAAGTGAAACTAGATAGGAAATTCAGATGAAACATTCCTGATATTCTTTAACGTGCTTTGAAATTAGACTGTCAATTTTAAAAGGGTCAAGATTAGAAGCAAAGGTTACGAAAAGCAGCGGCAGCCACGATGCTGTGTTTAACAACCAAAATCCCAAACGGAATTAGAAAAGGTGAGGGAGACCAGCAGATGGAAGCTCGCACACTCGCTCTGTAATTCTTTCAAATAAATCAATCTTCAAACAAACAAACAAAAACCCGGTGAGGAAGGCCGGGTCCCCACC